TTGTATCTTATTTGGTCTTTAATTTAATTACACAATTTCAGATACCTTTTCTTTTTTCTTTCTTTTTTTTTTTTCTTTTTTTTTTTCGAGACAGGGTTTCTCTGTGGAGCCCTGGCTGTCCTGGAACTCATTCTGTAGACCAGGCTGGCCTTGAACTCAGAAATCCGCCTGCCTCTGCCTCCCAAGTGCTGGGATTAAAGGTGTAGGCTACCACAGCCCGGCCTCAGATACATTTTCACATATCAAATATTTCAATGTTTTCTAGTACTAGCACATTGTAGTGTTCAGCAGAAAATATTTTAATAGGACAATATGTCATCCTTCAAGATATGCTGCTTTAATTGACTCTTTTCCTAAGATCTCTCCCATTACTAAGATTCTACTATTTTATGATATAACTAGTTCTAGAAGCTTGCTTCTCTCAGCTGAAACACTAAGACGTGGGACATGAAACCTGTAGAACATAAGAGGTAAGCTTTGTGAATCTGTTGAACAGAGGCCTGGCTGGCCAGGAAGAGGTTCAATGTTCCTGGGTGATGCTTTCTCAAGTGTGGGAGACGTTAGGTCAAAGTGAAACGATTCGAGGCTGGGGAGACAGGTGTTAGTACAGTGCTTCACACACATGACTACATGTGTTTGATCTTAGTATCCATATAAAAAGCCAGGTGGTGGCGTGTGCTTGTAACCCCAGCACAGGGGAGACAGAGACAGGAGGATCCCTAAAGTTTGCAAGCCAGCCAGTCTAGCCAAATCCAAAAGCTCAAGCTCTCAGTGAGATGTCCTGTCTCAAAAAGGAAGGTGAATGACACCCAGAGTTACGCTCTGGCCTCTGTATGCGTCTAGCTGTCAGTCACGTGATGGTAAATGGCTTTAAGAGAGAAAAATCCTGAGAGGGAGTACTTGTCTATTTTCTTAGCAAAGAGTCTCATCCTGGACCAGGTATCAGTACAAGTGGGCAGCGCAAATTGGCTCTTCTAGCTGGTATGATCAGACATTAATCTTCACTAAATGTTCATGAATATCTGGCTACAGCTCACTAGTGAGTTTTACAAACACCAGATTATAAATGGCATTTTTTTCCTGTTTTTTCGAGACAGGGTTTCTCTGTGTAGCCCTGGCTGTCCTGGAACTCACTCTGTAGACCAGGCTGATCTCGAACTCAGAAATCGGCCTGCCTCTGCCTCCCAAGTGCTGGGATTAAAGGCGTGAGCCACCACTGCCCAGCTTGTTTGTTTGTTTTAAAGATTTATTTATTTTATTTATATGAGTATACTGTTGCTGTCATCAGACACACCAGAAGTGGGCATCAGATCCAATTACAGATGGTTGTGAGCCACCATGTGGTTGCTGGGAATTGAACTCAAGACCTCCGGAAGAGCAGTCGGTGCTCTTAACCACTGAGCCATCTCTCCAGCCCCCTTGGTTTGTTTTTTTTTTTTAAGACAGGGTTTCTCTGTATAGCCTTGGCTGTCCCGGAACTCACTCTTTGAACCAGGCAGTCCTTGAACTCAGAGATCCACCTCCCTTTGTCTTCTGAGTACTGGGATTAAAGGCCACCACTGCCCAGCCTATGAATAGCCTTTTTAAAAAATGGGCAGATTAATCCAAGATGCTTTTTCATTGAAACATATGAAGTCTGAGCAGGAACACTTCTTTGTGTGTGTGTGTGTGTGTTTTTCGAGACAGAGTTTCTCTGTGTAGCCCTGGCTGTCCTGGAACTCACTCTGTAGACCAGGCTGGCCTCGAACTCAGAAATTCACCTGCCTCTGCCTCCCAAGTGCTGGGATTAAAGGCGTGAGCCACCACCGCCCCGGCGCAGAAACACTTCTTATTGTGAATCATAGTTACAAAGTCTAAAAGTCACGGTTACAAAGTCTGTTGTATTGTCTCTTTTAAAACAAAGCAGAACACATGTGATCTTAGTACTTGGGAGAATGAAGCAGAAGAACTGGAGAGTTCAAAGCTAGTCTGGGCTATATAGGACCACAGTATCTCAAAAACACCTACTCTTTGAAAATGAAAATCTTAAAAAGTTTGTATGAGTGTGTCTGTGCACATGTGTAGAGGAGCTGTGGAGACCGGAAGAGGGCGTCATCCTCTGGACTTCGAGTTGCAAATGGTTGTGAACTGCAGTTGTAGGTTCTGGGAACCTGACTCAGGTCTTCTGCAAGTGCAAGTGTGCAAGTGTGGGCATCTATCTCTCCAGCCCCAGTGAACGCCATTCTGTGCTCTTCCGCTTGCTTGCTTCTCAATTCTTCCCAGCTAAATATTTTGAGAGGTTTATGACTACTAGTCCCACAGCTTCTCAGCTCTCATTTCTACACTACTTTAAAGTCAGTTCCCAGTGACCTCTGCTGCTGTACCCATTGATCCTGTTCATGGTCTTTGGCCCCTCAGAGCATTCAAAAACCTGGATATTCTTTGTTTTGGGTACCTGTAGCCATTCCCAGCAGGTCTCTAAAGCAACCCCCTTTTCCCGGTCAACCCAGTGTCTGGCCAAGTCTGTTTTCTCCGTCTATCTGCACTCCTAAAGGACCTCACTCCCAAGTTGTCATCCCACCTTCTTCCCACCCATCAACCTCAGCACGCTGACTTTTATTTTCAGAGCACCCAGTTACTCGAGAGCACCAGGACTTTGTACTAGCTATCCACACAACTTGGAATGCATCCAGCACCGAGGTGACTTTGTCTTATTTTAACTTTGTAAAGAAGCAGTCAACTCAGGCAAAACTGAAGATACTCAACTGTCCTTCACTTTAGAATAATGTAGCATTTAATCCAGTCCTTAAGAACCTTTCTTTAAAGGCATTACACTAGGTGTTGGGAATGTGTAAGGCATTGACCCCTATTGACCAAGCCAGCTCACCCAGTCAATGGGTTCACCAGGGAGGAACGAAGGGGTGATTAAAAAGAAAAAAGACAATTAGACAACACTGTAGCATAACCCCAGGCACTTCTGAGACTGAGTCGGGTTTATTTTTTTCCAGCCTGCTTTTATACCACTTTAAGTACATGCAAAATAATAAGAGCAGTTCTGGGTCAAGGAACAAGCAAGACAATAAACACAAATAGTCAAGAACAAGCAAGGCAATAAACAAAGTCCTGTGATCACTGTTTCCACGGGCTTATAAGGAAGACCAAAATATGAGCCTACTTCCCTTTTCTAGCCCAAAGTCAGATTCTTGCCTGAAGCCTACTTCTTTGTTGTAGCCTAAAATCAGATTCCAGTCTGAGTTTACTTCCATGTCCTGGACAAATGTCAAATTCCTGCCTGAAACCTACTTCTTTGCCCTAGCCCCAAACCAAATTCCTGCCTGAACTTACTTCCTTGTCCTGGCCCAATGTCAAATTCCTGCCAAGTTTCTACAAGTGGCCCGAAAAGCTCTCCACATCCTATCTCAACTTACAAACCCCAGAAAGTGTAGTGAGAAGCCCACCACACCTAATAATAACAGAGCTAAGGCAATGTACATCAAGGGTTAACTCCAGCTATTCAAGTAGAATCTTGATGAGTGAATCAAATTTAGAAAAATGGGCAAGAGGAAGGAGAAAAAGTAACAATGAATCAGGACAGGAGGTTGCTGCTAAGAGGCTTGTAAAAAAAAATACAAGTTCAAAACAAAATAAAATACACAACCAGAGAAAAGACCAAATGGCTATGTCAAACATGTCATTTAAAAACAAACGGACAATATCTAGAAGAGAACATAACCTTGAGTTATATATCAAAACTAGTTATATATCAAAACTAGTTATAACATAACCTTGAGTTAGTATATCAAAACTAGGCAGCTCAGCCATCCGTTCTCAGCACCCTACAGTTTCGTTCCTACAAAAACGCGGCAAACTGTCAACAGTGCAGGTCTCAGTGATTATTGGCCATCTACTACTCTACTCAGAACCAAGCCCACAGTGTCTAAACTAAACTATACTACACTACACTACACTACACTACACTACACTACACTACACTACACTACACTAAAGGAACTCTACCGTGTAGTAAACCCCAGCACAGAATAACCGGCCAATCACCCAGTGTTGACATGTCCGGGCTACTGCTCACAGAATGGGGTTTCTTGATGGGGCAATGAGTTCCTCCACACCTAAGGCTAGTCATTGGCAGTAAGGAGCTGCAGCTAAATCTGATTGGCATAGCATTGCTCAGATGACCCAAGGCTGCAAAGAAAGCATACTCCGGAGGGCCTTGGCCCCAGCTACACCCGCCGCCACGACTATTTAACTGCATATTTATCACCCTTGAGATGGGGTATCTGTCACTGAGTGACCCAGAATTTCTTCTTCTTTTTTTTTTGTTGTTTGTTTTTCGAGACAGGGTTTCTCTGTGTAGCCCTGGCTGTCCTGGAACTCTGTAGACCAGGCTAGCCTCGAACTCTCGAACTCAGAAATCCGCCTGCCTCTGCCTCCCAAGTGCTGGGATTAAAGGCGTGCGCCACCACCGCCCGGCAAACCCAGAATTTCTTAAGTTCTCCAGTATGACATTGAATGTATGATGATCCTGCCTTCACCTCGCAAGGGTTGGGATTACAGGGGTATATCCGGACCAATTTGTGCAGAGCTGAGTGGAAATCAACCCCGGGGTGTCAAGCACATGAGTTGAGCCACACCCCAAGCCCAGACACACAGTCCAGCAGCCAGCCAGTGGTTTGCGTGGGTGACAGAAGAGCCCATCAGTTCCAGCTCCAGCATTCGGACGTCCCGCCCCTGCAGTGGTTCCCGCGGAAACGGCCGCGGGCTGACCCCGCCCTCGGCCTGTAGCCGCTCCTGGGAACTCGGACGGCATCCGGCAGGGGACATACGTCGTAGCACAGCGCTTACTACCACCGGGCTGGGGTGAGTCCTGGCGACTGCGGGCGGGCTCAGGGGCATCGGGATACTACTGTTCCGGGATAGGAACCCGAAGGGTAGTTCGAGTGTGGACACGGCATCTCGCTGTCTCCTTCGTGACACATGTACGGGTCACCGGACAGGGGGAGCGGTCGTGAGTTGAGGCTTGTACCTTAGTGTTAGGACAACGCTGCCTGCCACGGTGAGGGCTCTCCGCCCGGAGGCTCCCCTGCTGTGGTCTCCATCCCCAGCCGCGGAAAGGGGGAGCTTCACCTGGATCCCCAAGAATGACAGGCCCAGGGACAGTTGATTGACATCTCTGTCACACTCCGTGATTCTAGACACGCACTTTAGGATGCTGAGTCATTCGATCCTAACGTCAAACACGGGAAAACGCAATTTCTCTGTGTTTGAGGATCGTCCTAAAACCTAAGCCCTGGCTTGTGCTGGCTGTGACGGTGAGATGTGCCTGGAGACTTCGGAGACTAGTTATTTAATGCCAGCCTAGGCCATCTTGATCTCTCTCTGGGAAAGATATCAATTATGGATGTGGTAATGGCAATTCTTGTCTCCCTTTTGCTCTACTTCATGCTTCCTGAATTGCACAGAGCAGAATTAATGGCTCAGAGGATTTGAATAAAATGAGAGTTAATGGCAGATACTAGAAAGGGATCTAGGGTGGTCTTTAAGGGTGCAACCTGGAGAGATGCAATTTTCTTTTCTCCAGTAAAAAAGTAAGAGATTTGGCGAGTGCCTATTGCTTACAGCCTGATGGAATTGTAGGAAGTAAACTGCAGGAAACTCTAGTTTCATTTTCTGGTTTGGTTCTGGTTTGAGTCATCAGGCCTAGAGGTCGTAATAAATGTATTACTGGGTAGGGCTTAGTGTGGAGGGTTCACTCTTTATCTTTAAAAAGTGACTGATACAGAACACTGCATCTAGTATTCAGAGGAGAAACTATGCCGCCCCCACCCGACCCTCAACTTAATTTGGCTGGCTGAAGAAGAGCAGTGCTTTCTATTAATAATAGCTAACACATACTGAGCTGTTTTCTACTATTTAAACTAGTTTAATCCTCGGGACAGTCCTATGATGTGATGCCTACTTGTTCTACAAATTGGAAACGTTAAATGAATATTGTCATAGTTTCATAGCACTGCTTGAAAGAGATTTGCCATTGTTTTAGTTTAGGGGTTTGTGTCTTGTTTTTGTGTTAGGGACTGAACCCAGAACCTCAGTCTTGTTAGACAAGTGCTCTACCACTGAGCCACACCTCCAAACCCTTTCCCCGCCTTTTTTGTTTTGTTTTGTTTCAAGACAGGGTTTCTCTGTGTAGCCCTGGTTGTCCTGGAACTCACTCTGTAGACCAGGCTGGCCTCAAACTCAGAAATCCACCTGCCTCTGTCTCCCAAGTGCTGGGATTAAAGGCGTGCGCCACCACCGCCCAGTGCCTTTGTTGTTGTTGTGTTTCAATTCCAAGGCTTCAGGCATACTAAGCTCAATGTAAATGATTACTGATCTCCTAGCTTATATTTTATTTGTATTTACTGCTTCTGGTTTGTTTGGTTTTACAGTGCTGGCACAGAACCCAGGGCCTCATCACACTAGGCAAGCTCTCTACTCAGCTGTGCCCTTAGCCTTTAAAAATTTACTGGAGACAGGATGCCTTAGTCTCTATTCTAAAGCTGTGAAGAGATACCATGACTATAGCAACACTTATAATAGTTCCAGAGGTTTAAGTCCATTGTCGTCATGACTGGGGAGCATGTCAGATGCAAGCAGACATGGTGCTGGAGGAAAGTTCTACATGTGGATTCACAGGCAGCAGGAAGGGGGAGACACTGGGCCTGGCTTGGGCCATACCTCTCAATCCTTTTAAATAGTTTCACTCCTTGGTGACTAAGCATTCAAATATATGATCCTATGGGAGCCATTCTTATGTGAACTGCCACACAGGTTGTCACTAAATCACCTAGGCTAGGGTCCAATTTGTATTCTTCCTGTCTCAGCCTCACAAGTGGCTTTGATTATAGGCATGTGTCACCACACTCACAATTTTAGGTTTTTTTTTTGTTTGTTTTTTGTTTTTGTTGTTTTTCAAGACAGGGTTTCTCTGTATAGCCCTGGCTGTCCTGGAACTCACTCTGTATTCCAGGCTGGCCTCGAATTCAGAAAGCCACCTGCCTCTGCCTCCCAAGTGCTGGGATTAAAGGCGTGCGCTACCACCGCCTGGCCAATTTTAGTATTTTTAAACAGTAAACTTATAATTTCCTCCTTATGTATTTTTAAAATAATTCCTGCACTGATAACTTAATTATTTCATGTATAAATATGTTTTTAAGAATATATGTTGGGTCTTTGGTTATACTAACACTGTTATTTGGTGGCCATCAGTAAAGTAATATAATAAAGGAAAGTAATATAATAAGTTTGATGTAAAAAATTTTGCATGGTTGTTTTTCTCTTTTGCTTTCACACAGGACAAGTTTTTACTTTGAGTAATCCTTAAATGAAGAGTGGATAAAGCCTATATACAGAAGAGAGACTCCAATCAACAATAGCAATAAGTTGAAAAAGAAAAATGTTGTCCTTAAACAACCTACAAAATATCATCTATAACCCGGTAACAGATTTTTAGCAAATTTTTTTTTTTTTTGCCTGTAGTAGGATTGACAGCAAATACACTCAAGTTCTAATTATCCACTGGGGCCAGGCCCAAACACAATTCAGTTAGCACCCAGAGCATTCCTACTAGGAGACTGGTACTTGGAGAAGTGCTGGCTGAGTCCTTAAAAACAGAACTTTTTAAAGAAAAATGCATTTCTTATTTTAAATAGTTCTTCCTTCTTTTTAAACGGTTTTAATGATTTCTCTTTATATGCATTGGTGTTTTGCCTGCATGTGTGTCTCTGTGCGAGGGTATTAGATCCAGTGGAACTGGAGATACAGACAACTGTGAATTGCCATGTGGGTTCTGGGAGTTGAACCATCTCCCCAGCTTCCCATAGTTTTCCTGCTTTTTTATTACACTTTTTCTTTTTACTGTGGTGTGTGTGTGTGTATGTGTGTGTGTGTGTGTGTGTGTGTGTATAAGCCTTGATGCCATAACACACACATACATGAAGGGAAGGTGTGTGTGTGTGTGTGTCTGTGTATGTGTGTATAATAAGCCTTGATGCCATAACACACACATACATGAAGGGAAGGTCTGGGAACAACTTTTGGGAAGTTCTATTCTACTATTTGGGTCTGAAAGTTGAACTCAGGTGGTCATATTTGGCAGGATACACCTTTACCTGCTAAACAATCATACTGGCTTCTTCCTTCCTTCGTCTGTCTGTCTGTCTGTCTGTCTGTCCATCATTCTATTGTATAGAGGATAGAACCTATGGCTTCATGATTTGGGTGTATTATAACACTAGACCACACTGTCCATCCACCCACTCACTATCCATTCATTTGTTAGTTTTTTCTGCTTGTTTTAAGATAAGGCATTGCTGTGTTGTCCAGTCTGACCTCAAACTTGAAATCCACCTACCTCAAGCCCCCAGTACTGGGGTTATAGACTGGTGTGTTCCACCACACCTGGCTTTTTGTAGTGTTTTTGAAATGAGAACTGTCCACAAGAAGTTAATGTCTCAGTGTTTTCCAAACACTGCTTTGAAGTGTAGGAGGGGAAATGTCAAGAGCCTGTGGCAAGAGACCTGAGCAAAACATGTTGTCCAGTTCAGGCTGCTGGTAAGAGTCTGACTAACTGCTAGAAAATGCAGTCAACATCCTGGTCTTATGAAAACCTGTGAAGAGCCTGCTTTGGTTTTCTGTGCTGGTGAGCCTTTCTAGATGTGCCTGGTTTCTTTTTACCACCTGACATAGGGACACTGGTTTTTGGTGACCCCTTAGGAGACTCTTGGGCAGAAGAAATGGCAAAAGTCACTGAACTGGTTGTGTGTGTTGAGAACATAGCTGCGATTTTCCTCCATAACTTTCAGTACGATAGTGAAAGAAAGGTTTAACAACCATGTCAAGCAAACTGAATTTTGGGGAGGAATAGCCTTATGTGGCAATAGGTTTAAAAAAGGTCTACAAAATTTGACATCAGTGAAGACATTTAAAGTGATTTTATGCATGTTGCAGCTTAAAGCATCCCAAGGTTGTGAACTGGAAAAAAAACAAGACTAGCCTTGTGTGTGTGTGTTTGTGTGTATACATGAGTGAATATGTATGAGAGACTGCATGAGTGTGTATATGTATGTGGTGAGTGTGTGTGTTTGTGAGTATATGTGCATGTGATTTTTGTTTCTGTTCTTGGTGGAATACAGGAACTGCTTCCTGTTCATTTGACCTCATGAAGGTTTTAATGTTCTTGGTCTAGACTGGTGCACGCTCTGTCCATGTGAGCGCTTCTTGGTGCAAGCTCTGTCCATGTAAGCGCTTGTCGGAACAGATAAAGTACACATTGTAACTGGCGGTGTCTTTTTAATTTTTCTACTTGGTATATTTCTTTCATTCATTCCACTGAAAGAATTTGAAAAATTAAAAGCCAGAGTCACTCTTCCTTCACACTGAGTCATTTGAAGACATTGCCTTCGTTCGCTTCCAGAGATGCTGTCACGTGGCATCTGTGGGCACTGCATTATTGTCTTCCCATAGATTTTGTAGTCATTGCTTTTGTTTTGTTGAGATGAGTGCAGATGCCTCACTTTGTAGCCCAGGTTAGCCTCCAACTTAGATCAGCCTTTTTGCCTCAGCTTCCCAAGTGCAACTCGAGTTTCTGCACCCAACCTGTGGGAACTTAAGCCTCTCTTGATAGCCAGCGGGCCAAGACATGGGTAGACATGAGTCTGACTCTTTTTTCACCCTCATTAATAAACCACTCATCAACATTAACCCCAGCTGGAGCTGAGGGATGGCTTCTGGAACCAGTTCCCTAAAGCCCCACCTGAGAGTCATCAGCACGGGGCTGTTGCGTTATTGCAGCTAGAGGGCAGAGAGCAACTCTGCCTCAGGAAGAAGTACAGGGCAGAGTCCAGAGGAATCCAGTACGTGCTTCAGGGCCTTTAGATCCTCCACTGTGTGACACTAATGTGGAGTTGTCTGCTGGGGAAACTCTGAAGACTCAGGGTTTTTAATCTATGGCTGGTCACATAGGCGCTGTCTGCCTCACTTATAGGAGCACTCCAGACACCTAGAAGGGAAGCTCTAGATGCCCTCCTGTTGCTTAGGGCAATAAGTGCCTTCTTGGAAACCCAAGTGTAGGCCTCAGCCAGGACCCAGCCTCTCAAGGGCAGCACTCTGTCTCACATTTGCTTAATCTACCTCAGCACCTTTCTCATCATCTCCAGTCAACTTTTTAAGTAAGAGTGAGTTGGGCACGGTGACTGCCTCTAATCAGTACTTGGGAATAAAAGAGGCAGGAGAGTCACAAGTTCAAGGTCATATCTTATTAGTTTGCATTACTAATCACTGAGTTTGGTCATAGTTACCTTGTCGCTGCATTCACTTATGAAAATACATTTGTAACATGTCTTTTCCTTAGACAATCCCCTATGTCAGCACCATTACTGAGCAGTTGAAGCCTGGCTCTTTGATTGTAATCCGTGGGCATGTTCCTAAAGATTCAGAAAGGTAAGATTACTGTGTAAGGTGGAAGGCCAGCTCTCTCTCCGTGACTGGAAAGGACATGTTGATGCTCTGAGCCCTCTTTGGTTCACTAGCAGCTCTGCTGTGGTGTGAGGAGAAGGAGTAATAAAGTGACGGTTCCTGGGATGCTTTTGTCTTGTATGAGACATAGCCTGGTGGTCTCAGAACTCACTCTGGAGACAGGTTGGTCTCAAACTCACAGAGATCTGTCTGCCTCTGCCTCCTCAGATCTTGTCAGGCAGAGAGAGATCTAGTTCTGACTGGCTCACATGACTGGTTTAAGTGACATGTGGAAGTTATCTTACAGAGACCCATGGAGTGTGCCCCTGGGAGCAGGCCTCCTGATCAAGACCCTCACTTTCATGCTTTGAAAGGCTAGTGGTCTATGCATAGCAGGGGGTGAGGGGTGGAGCAGGAGTGGGTGAGATCAGGTACAGCTTATTTTGAACTGACTCCTGGATCAGAAGTTTCCCTGGCATCTGCCTTCTGTTCATCAGCAGATTTGACCAAACACAGAAGAGGCCAGCATCCAAGACAGGCAGGAGAGGGAAGTTCTTATTCTGGGTCCATATAACTCAGCTTATGCGGTGGGGCTCTGTTACTGAGGAAAGAGGAAAGGAAGATGGGCAGGCTGCCCTGTAGGTCTTATGGCTGAAGGTAGGGGTGCTGGGGTGGGGTTGGGGGTGCTTGTATTTTCTCCATGGCTCACCTCTGCAGGCTCACATGGTTCTGCTCTGCCCTCGCCCAGATTCCAGGTAGACTTTCAGCAGGGCAACAGCCTGAAGCCAAGAGCTGATGTGGCCTTCCACTTTAACCCTCGCTTCAAAAGGTCCAACTGCATTGTCTGTAACACCCTGACAAATGAGAAGTGGGGCTGGGAGGAGATCACCTATGACATGCCCTTCAGAAAAGAAAAGTCCTTTGAGATCGTGATCATGGTGCTCAAGAACAAATTCCAGGTAGATGCCGAGGGAGAAAGGGAGTGTGTGCGCATGCGTGGGAACATCTCTGAATCTACCGATCCAGGTAGATGTTGAGCGAAAGGGAGCGTGTGCGCATGCGTGGGGACATCTCCGAATCTACCGATCCAGGTAGATGTTGAGCGAAACGGAGCGTGTGCACGTGCGTGGGGACATCTCTGAATCTACTGAAGGCACCAGATACGCCACTGTCCAGATGGAAATGCAGATCCAGAACAGATAAACATTCTTTTAGGCCTTACTTCTTCTAGGAGGGCTAAATTCTGGATCACACAGGATCGTGGCACTGTTAGGGGAGTGGATTATAGAAGCCACACCTGAAGTTTAGGAAAGTCTACATGAGCAGTCTGGTGGTGGACAGGGAGCTCCTTGAAGGGGCATATCCAGTGTCACAGCAAGATACTGCTGTAGGGCCCTGGGGGCCTTGTGGACATAGTGACTTCCTGGGACTGCAGTTTGGGTCCAGAGGCCCCTCAGAGTGCCAATCCTCAAACTCATAGAAGGCTTGTAAAACAGAGATCTTGCAGCTCCAGGAACATGTGCACCTTTTGGTCTAGGTCCTTGTGGGACATTGCTCTCTGGATCCCCCTGTGCTCCTCAGTTTGCTGTTCCATGACCTTCAGTCTTGGTCAGTCTAGCTGTACCCACCATTGTTGCCTTGAAGTTGTTGTATATGGGGATTTTTAACTATTGTGGATGCCAGGAAGTGCATGCTGACAGGAGCCTGATATACCATACCTGTTTCAAGAGAGGCTCTGCCAGAATCTGACATACAGAGGCAGATGCTCGCAGCTAACTATTGAATTGATCATGGGGTCCCCAATGGAGGAGTTAGAAGATAGAAGGAGCTGAAGGGGCTTGGGGCCCCATGGGGAGAGCAACAATATCAACCAACCAGAGCTCCCAGGGTCTAAACCACTGGCTTGGGAATATTCATGGAGGGACCCATGGCTCTAGCTGTATATGTAGTGGAAGATGGCCTTGTCAGGCATTGGTGGGAGAGGAGGTCCTTGGTCCTGTGAAGGCTGGATGCCCCAGTGTGGGGGAATTCGAGGGTAGGGAGGGAGGAGTGGGTGGATGGGGTGGGAGGCAACAGGAAGGGGGATGGGATAAGGAATTTTTGAGGGGGGATGGGGAAAGGAGATAACATCTGAAATGTAGATAAATTATCCAATAATAAAAAGAGAAAAGCTCGCTGGGCAGTGGTGGCACAGGACTTTAATCCTAGCACTTGGGAGGCAGAGGCAGGCAGACTTCGAGGCCAGCCTGGTCCATAGAGTGAGATCCAGGACAGCCAGGGCTACACAGAGAAACCCTGTCTCGAAAAGCCAAAAAAAAAAAAAAAAAAAAAAAAGGCTCACTGAGAGGTCCTACTGTGGGTCCTACCATAGGCTGCTCATGTGTCCCTCCTGAACTATGACACATACGAACTGGCATTTGGGGGTACTGTGCAGAGGACTCACAGATAGCATCCTGTCATGTTATACAACTTTAGCCTACTGAGTGAGGTTGTTCCAACCCAGAGATAAGAAATCTCAGGTAAGTCAGAAAGCTCACTGTTGCTTTTTTCTTTTTTTTTCTGTTTGTTTGTTTTTCGAGACAGGGTTTCTCTGTGTAGCCTTGGCTGTCCTGGAGCTCACTCTGTAGATCAGGCTGGCCTTGAACTCAGAAATCCGCCTGCCTCTGCCCCCCAAATGCTGGGATTAAAGACATGCACCACCACTGCTTGGCTTTCACTTAGTGAGCTCAGTGCCTTCTTGTCCCTGTCATAGAGGTGTGGCACTGTCAGAGTGTATCCCTGAAGGAGAGTTGGGGCAGCAAGTATGCAGAGCTAACCTACATCTTAGGCTTCCAGACCTCGTGGATGGCTCTTGGGGTCCTGAGCGTGGTTGTCTCCTGGGCACACACAGATAGATGCATGTGGAGCGCACATACTTCCAAATGTATGTGACTGGAGAGATGACCCAGGCACTTAATCAGACAGGAGGAGAAGAGTTCAGAATTTCTGCGACTGTGGTGGCTGCTTTCAGCCACAATGTGAGCAGAGACCTGTGAGAAAAATAAACCTGAGATAACTCATTCATTCATTCATTCATTCATTCACTTTTGTGGTGCTGGAGATGAAACCTGGGGCTTCACACTGTAGGCCAGTGTTCTACCACAGCTCCACTCCCACCCCATAAGGTACACTTATGTTTGGATGAGGAGTTATCTATTGCTGTGCTCTGAGGGCGTTGCTTGCTGTGTCTCTCCAGGTGGCTGTGAACGGAAAGCACGTCCTCCTGTACGCCCACAGGATCAGCCCGGAGAAGATAGACACACTAGGCATCTACGGCAAAGTGAACATTCACTCCATCGGGTTCAGATTCAGCTCGGCAAGTGCCCTTCCACACATCCCTGGGGGCTGCGGGGACAGTGTTCTCACATTCAGTCAGACCAAATGGTAGAAATTTCCTTTAATTTACATCTTCCACTTAGGTAAGAGTATACTTTCAGACTAGTTGGGTTCTGCTGTTGTTGTTTGTGGGACCTCAAATCTAGAGTGAGCCTACCAGATGGTTAATGTGTATCTCCTGTCCATGGGAGTGAATAAATATTTCTGTAAGACAGTTTTCTATGTATCTGAATTTAAATTTCTTGGACATTGCTAGCTTGTTTCCAACGATGTGAACAGTTTAATTCTCAACAGCTGTGCCCAGCTGCCATGTTCTTATTAACATTAGATCTTATTCTCACAAACTCTTGCTAGTTTGGGGTCCCCCAGTGTTAAGTTGTATTTTTAAAATTATAATTATCAATAATTTTCCATGCTCAGTATCACTGATAATCTTTTATTATATTTTAAAAAGATATTATGATGGATGTTAAAATTAATCTATGCTCTTTTTCAGGATTTACAAAGTATGGAAACAGTTAATCTGGGACTGACACAGATAAGCAGAGAAAATGTAAATATTCTATGAACCAGCAGTTTAAAATGTTCTCAGTTACTATCGGTGGAAGGAAGGCTCTTTTTTCCCTTTAATTATGGAGTTTTCTATATGTGTTCATATGAATGGAAGTGCATGTGTGTGTGCATGTCCATGGAGGCCACAAGTCAACTCTGAAGTCTTAATCAATTGCTCTACATCTTTTAAAAAGTCACTTTGCACGTATATGCCTGCAGTATTTGTATGCATGTATACGTGTGTGTTGGCACATGTGTGCTAAAGCCGGAAATCAACATTGGATGTCTTCTTTGATTGCTCTCCACCTTTTGAGGTAGTCTTGAACCCAGAGTTTGCTTGTTCAGCTAGTCCAAGTAGCTAGCTTGCTCTAGAGATCCTGTCATGTGCTAGGATTAGAGGAGGCATCCATGCCTGCCCAGCATTTATGTGGGTGCTGAGGATTTGAGTCCTTATGGTTGCCCTGAAATTGTCTTAGCCTCTAAACTGTCTCCCAAGTTCTTCCGCTTTGTTTTTCTGAGACAAGGTCTCTCACTGAGTCTGGGACTCCCTTTTGGCTAGACGGTCCAGTCAGCTTGCCACAGGGGTCATCCTTTCTCTGTCTCTCCAGTGCTGGAGTTACCAACGTGCAGCTCCCATGCCTGGCTTTTACATGCGTGCATAGCAAGAACGCTACCAGCTGAACTATCTCCCCAACTTCCCAAATTGAATTTTTAATGTGAGGTCAGGATAGAAGCAGTCAGTTAAGAGCCAAGAGGCATACTGCTTTATGGTGTTGGGCATTGTGTTTTTGTTGACACGTAGCATATTAGTTTAGATGACTGTCACTATGCTGTATGTAAAAAGCACTCTGTCTCCTTGGCTTGTTGAGAGGTACTAGCATGAAGCATCTGAAAATACTGAACATCAGGTGCACTTCAGACGAATTCTCTGTTCCCGGCAGCATCAAGAACAGTTTTACAATTGATTGTTCTTTAACAATTATCGTTCTTAAGAAAGCCAGACCTTGCCGGGCAGTAGTGGCACATGCCTTTAATCCCAGTACTTGGGAGGCAGACGCAGGCAGATTTCTGAGTTGGAAGCCAGCCTGGTCTACAGAGTGATTTCCAGGACAGCCAGGGCTATACAGAGAAACCCTGTCTCAAAAAACAAACAAACAAACAAACAAAAAAAAAAAAAAAGAAGGAAAGAAAGCCAGGCCTTCCTCCAGTCTGCACATCTATACCTGCAGGCAAGGCAACATGTCAGTGTTTGGAGACTTCTTGGGGAGGACAAGTAAGATGTACTTGAAGCTCACCTGTAAACCTTTGAATAACTATTAACTTGTGGATGATAAAGTGTTCACATGAGGATGCTGGACCATGTTGCTCTTCATAAGCTCCAAGGTACCTGTCATGTGTCTCCATGGCGTCACATCAAAGCAGATAGGGCACTGATACAGGAAGCCACAGCAGACTGCTCCTTTGCAAACCTGTCAGTCCCCCAGTAGATAGTTCTCACTTTTCTTTTTCTTCCACCAGGTACAAAAATCTGGCAAGCTCCAGCTGGTGAGTACTTTTGCTTGGTTCTTACATATGAAATATGTTGTGAATGACCTAGAGCACGAACAGCTGAACCTTGAAGGCAGCTTCATTCTTTCCACACTGTATTGTAGAGCTGTTTCTTGTAATGTGGTAGTAGCAGAGACATTTCTAAAATCATGTAGTATGATTTATTTTGTGTGCCTGGCACTTTAAAAGACCCTATGTCCTTCAGTGTCAGTTTTGTCAGTTTCAAAAGCATTATGAAAAGCTACATTTGGCACCCAACGTGGGGCTGGG